ATTATTTTGATTAGGCTCACTAATTTAGTCTATTAATAGGTTTTTAGAGACTTGTTTTATACACTTTGAAGTTGTAAGATCGTGATTGCATCTTGCATTTTTATAAAATTCTATAGACCTATATTTAAATCTACATATTGAATCACTTTTGTGTTGATTTGAGGATAGTCGAATTCAAATTTCATTTTAAATCATGACAATTTCACAACAAGGATTAAATCTTGAATTGATTTATTTTTCAATTGGTATTTTCCATTAATTATGTTTGCTTTCTTAATTTTGCGATTAATATTGATTCTGTTCATAAATCCCTTTTCTAACAATTCAGGATCAATTCAAATTCTATTGATTTGTATCTTTGAGAAGAATAACCTAAGTCGTTTCCTATATTAAAAATTTAAGGAGAAATATAGTTTTTTTATAGTAATCCAACAACACTATCATAGAGCACACACGATGGCAGGAACAAGTATTGTCTCTAGATCCAAATGATTGCATAGAGAAGAAGAGGGAGCAAAAAGGAATTTAAGAGGGCATTGAAATAATATGAGAACATGATGAATGAGCCATTCACGATGGAAAACATGATTGATGGAGATGATGAATGAAGTGTCCTTATCTAGCTTGGTTCTAAATTGGGTCACATGCACTTGTTGTGTAATGGGGGGTTACCATACACACACATGTCTTTACAATGATAAAATATTGTCCACTTTGGGTCTAAGTCATCGTGACTTTGCTTTTGGTCATCTTTCAAAAGGTTTCTTACTAATAAAAATAATTGTATATATAAACTCATATCCATTCTCTTGTTCGAACTATGTGAGACTTTGATTATATTCCAACAATCCTCCCTTCAAACAAATAATCATAGTTTAACCCCTCCCTTTTCAACAAAAGTTATCAGTCCTCGAGTATATTTGATGGTGGTCCATATATCTCAGTCATGCTTTGACTACTTGTATCCCCACTCCATCGTTAACTCATGATAGCAAGACATACCTCTTAACTAATCGATCCATCATTAACAAGACTTTCAACATAAGGGGTCATATACCTGAATCCACCTACCAATCATCATACTTGCTAAATTGGTCACCTTATTAGACCATTGGCTTTGAAACCACTTGTTGTGCATCAGGAGGTTACCACACACACCCATGTCTCCACAATAATGATAAGATATTGTTCGTTTTGGGTTTAAACCCTTATGATTTTTCTTTTGATCATTTTCTAAAAAATCTCTTAGCAATAAAGACAATCATATATATATATATATA